CTGGTCTGTGTGGGTGGGTTTTCTGTAGACCTTGTGTCCCAGTCAGAGGTCAGTTTTGCGTATGACCATGACATCTAAGAACGGGAGTTGGCCCTCCATTTCTTTTTCCATGGTGAATTGTATATTTGGGTGGATGCTGTTGAGATGGTTTAGAAATTCTTCCAATTTTTCTTCACCATGACTCCAAATTGCAAAGGTGTCATCCAAATATTGGAACCAGACTGTGGGTGTGAAGGGTGCCGAAGCCAGGGGAAGTTTTTCGAAATGCTCAACAGGGCTGAGGGGGCTCCCCATGGCCACTCCATCTGTCTGTTCATAGAATTCATTATCCCACTGAAAATAGCTGGTCGTTAGGCAGTGTTGGAAAAGGGCCTTGATGTCTTCTGGAAAGATCTTCTGGATGAGTGTCAGGGTGTCCTTTATCAGCACCTTAGTGAACAAGGATACTATGTCAAAGTTGATCAGTCTGTCCCAGGGTTGAGTTTTAGGGTGCTGATCTTGCTTATGAAATGTCCTGAGATAATGTCCTGAGATATTAGCTTATTGCACATAGGAAACAGGGAAGGAAGGAAGGAAGGAAGGAAGGAAAACTCAATTGCAGAGGGGCAGAAGCTGAAGTGGTGAAATGGCAGATATGAAATAATTACGTCTTCCTCACCACACTTGAGTCTTGTCAACCCCTACTTGAACCATCTAGAGATGGTATTGGATTAAAGTCACATAGCAGCAACTGTTATTTAATGGCTGAAAGAGCAGTGAAGATTTTAGGATAAAGCACCAGTGTCTGTAACTAGTGATTTAGTGGGTACAGGAAAAGGAATATAATAGATAAACAGAGATAAACCCAAGTATTTCAGAAAGTTTATGAAAAGAATCAGTAATTGATAAACAGATATAAACTCAAGTATTTCAGAAAGTTTATGAAAAGAATGAAAAAAGTAATGTGTTTCTTTCTCTAAAACTGTTTATTTTTCTTGTTTCTCTAGCCATTCATTCCAAAACAGAGCAGAGGAAGGATTCTGGGTTACAGAGTGTACTGTGAAAAACAAGGGGAAATTGTGGATTTATGTCAAACAACAGAAATAAAATGCAAAGTTTTGGTGCCCCCAGAGGTGACCAGTATCTATGTGACAGCACACAATTCAAAAGGAAGTTCAAGCCCTGCAAATATTACAGTGAAGCAACAGCTCCTTAATTACCACGGTATGTTATAAGTGGCACAGAACAAAACTTTCAGAAATAGATAACACACAGTGTTTTATCGTCTTAGAGAAGAAACTATTTTTATGTGACAGGAACTGTTTGTCCACTCAGCCACCAACTTCATTTGCCTTATCTTACTTCTGGCTTAAACTGGCTGGAGATGCAAGTTATTAAAAAAAATATCCAGAAACATTTTTCTGCTACCCTACAGTCCTGTTTATATGAAAGATAGGCCAAACTCAATGTGGGTTCAACTCTCAGCTCAGCTGGTGACATTTGAACCCGGCAAGGTTTCCTGAGAGACAATTTGACACACACACCCCAATTCTCCAACATGAATCTATTTACATCTTCACTGATTTCAAGAGCATTTCTTGTCTAGAAGCTCATCCACACTTTCCATTTCCTCTTGTTAAGTACTGTAGGTACTGTAGTTCCATCGCCCATCAGTTGGGATTAGTTTAACAGATCTACGTGATGTTACTGGAGACCCATACTGATCCGTTCCACATCCTTTCTACGTCAGGATTAATTGCCATTGCTTAGGAACTTGCTGTTTTCCTGCATCCTGTTTCAATCCTGAGGTGTCAGCCCCATCTCTTTCAATGTTTCAAACAAATCCAATTCCCGGTGTCAGCTGTGATGCCTTGCTTATTGCTCCCCCGTGGGATACATGAAATGAGGAGAGGGTGGAGAATGGGAGGGCAGGAGAGGGAAGGGATGGAAGAAGGAAGAGAAGGGATATCTTCTGGTGCAGAAATTCAGATCAGAAGAATTGCATGCAAAGAAAAATTAAGACAGGTATGGGATTCCAGATCTCTGAGGGGAGAGGATCACTCTTCCAACTCAACTCAATCCAAGTCACACACCTCATGTAGCTGAGCCTAATTTGTCATGGCATGTGTATGAAAATTCTAAATATTTTACTCTGTGTTAACAGAAGCTAAATTCAAGATAGCTGAGTCATCATCCATGCTGTTTTTTTGCCCTGCAGATTTTCCACCTCCTACAAATTTGCAAATAATCCATGAGGAACAAAAAGGAGTTTCTGTGAAATGGGTACCTCCCAAATCCACTGGAAAAGCACTTTTGTGGTACATAGTGGAATGGACTTCTCATCATGGCATTGGGTGGGAAAAGGTGCCCAAACAGAGAACAAGCATTTTTATTGGAAGTAAGTACAGTATTCCCCCAGACACACATTTTCATAATTCGTAGAGTTGGAGAAGTACACAGTTCTACAAGGACAATGGTGAAAGAGATGAATGTATGTATATATGCAGAGGAATCTTTAATGCTTGAAAGTTCAGTAATTCAGAGCAAGAGATTTTGAACCCCAGAAGGGCAAATGTCTCCTACAAGGGTGTTTATTGAGGACAATCTGCTTTGGCTGGAAGGTAGGTAGCCAATTTAATACGCTAGAGTTTCTGTTTTCCCTAAGACTCCAAGCTAATTTACATTAAAAAGATGCTGACAGTTTTACTTCCAGCTCTTTCCATAACCACTCTGCAATGTTTACTTCGATAAATTATTACTACTTAATTAATTTTTTATTCTGTCCATTTTAACACAATTGAATTAATTGATAATTATTTATTTAATCCACTAAATATACAGATGTAAACATGCTTGAGAATAAGCAAAATAGACAATATACTGCCAGTCTGAGCTTTGACCCGACCTGTAAAAAGAGTCCAGGGTCTCTGCACATACTATTTGATTATCGAATGAGCAGCTTTTGTTTAGCAGTTTCTTGTTCGCAGCTGAGAACATCACAGGAAATGTCCTATGGCATTTCCTCCAGCCACCTGGGATCTCAAATACTTCTGCAGAGAGGAGAAATAGACAAGCATGCAGAAGCTCGGAAAACTATGCTGCTGCCAGACCCTTTCTGCTGTAGGCCTTCCTCTCAATTAAGAGAGACTCTTTTGGGTAACAGAATGATTTAAAAAAACCAGTAGGCATAATAACATAATGTGATCACGTTCACATTATGTGCTGTATCACTTTTCAGTTTATGGTTATGTTCTGTACTTTTTAATTGGCTGATACAATGAGCAGTGAATTTAAAAATAAAATGAGCAGATATCAAAAATTTCCTCTCAATTAAGAGAGCCTCTTTTGGGTAACAGATTGATTAAAAAAGACAGTAGGCATAATAACATAATGTGATCATGTTCACATTATGTGCTGTATCACTTTTCAGTTTATGGTTATGTTCTGTACTTTTTTATTGGCTGATACAATGAGCAGTGAATTTAAAAATAAAATGAGCAGATATCAAAAACAACTTCAGCAAACAGAGCATTGGTGAGAAAAATCATGAAAGAAATCAATATAGAACCCTTGGGCTGTTTTGAAGAAAAGAGAATATAGTGATAAATAAGCACGTTTTCAAATGAAACAATATGTTTCTTCAGGAGAGATGAGGAATATTTTTAACAATAGTGTTGCTATGTATTCGCGAAGGCTTTCACGGCCGGGACGGGATGGTTGTTGTGGGCTTTTGGGGTTCTTTGGCTGTGTTCTGAAGGTTGTTCTTCCTAACGTTTTGCCAGTCTCTGTGGCCGGCATCTTCAAAGGACAGTGTTGCTGTTGATGATTATTTCATAGGTTTTACCTATGATCCTTTTTTCTTTCTTTAATTGTACATAAGGACCTCCTGCCACTCAAGTTGACAAGCATAAAGCATCACACTCTAAATAAGATGTCATCCTTTTACAGAACACATTAGCATGAAAAGGAACAGCAACATTTCAGTGTATGCTGTGTATCAAGATGGCACCAGCAAGGCCTCCTCTATTCCACGTGAGTAGAATTGGATCAGGCATTCTAACAGGTTGACTTGTTGTTTAGTCATTAAGTCATGTCCGACTCTTCATGACCCCATGGACCAGAGCACGCCAGGCCCTCCTGTCTTCCTCTACCTCCCGGAGTTAGGTCAAATTCATGTTGGTCACTTCGATGACACTGTCCAACCATCTCGTCTTCTGCCGTCCCCTTCTTCTCTTGCCTTCACACTTTGCCAAAATCAGGGTCTTTTCCAGGGAGTCTTCTCTTCTCATGAGATGGCCAAAGTACTGGAGCCTCAGCTTCAGGATCTGTCCTTCCAATGAGCCCTCGGGGTTGATTTCCTTTAGAATTGATAGGTTTGCTCTCCTTGCAGTCCAGGGGACTCTCACGAGCCTCCTCCAGCACCACAATTCAAAAGCATCAATTCTTCGGTGGTCAGCCTTCTTTATGGTCCAGTTCTAATTTCCATACATCGCTACTGGAAAAACCATAGCTTTGACTATGTGGGCCTTTGTCAGCAAGGTGATGTCTCTGCTTTTTAAGATGCTGTCTAGGTTTGTCATCGCTTTCTCGCAAGAAGCAGGCGTCTTTTAATTTCAGGGCTGCTGTCACTATTTGCAGTGGTCACGAAGGCAAAGAAAGTAAAAAATCTGTCACTGCCTCCACATCTTCCCCTTCTATTTGCCAGGTATTGATGGGACCAGTGGCCATGATCTTAGTTGACTACGTTACCTTATATATTTTTGAACATGTTCAAACATCCTCCATTGTCTAAAAACAGATTAAAAACCAGGGGTGTGAGCCATGCTATGTGAATGCTGTTTTTGCAGTCCCTGGCACAGTCCTCGTCCCAAGAAAAATGAGGGGATAGTACATCGGGAAACCTTCGGAAGATGTAATTCTCTTTTAAATCTCCTTGGTCACCCACAATTTGTTTAGTCCCTCTCCCAAATCTGTTTTTTGAAAACTGGAATTAACTGGAAAATGGTTGGAAAATATTCCGTGAACCTTCTACTGTTGCCCACCCCAATACCCCAGGATGCTGGAAAATGCAGAGGGCTATATATAGCATGATCGCTCCATCTAGTGGCCAATTCTGGTATATACATGGTGGAAAATTATTTCTCTAGAGTGGTGTTTCTCAAATTTGGGTCCCCAGATGTTCTTGTGGTGTTTCTCAAATTTGGGTCCCCAAACTGCAATTCCCAGAAATCCTGGTCAGCACAGCAAGTGGTGAAGGCTTCTGGGAACTGCAATCCAAGACTATCTGGGGACCTTTTCAGACTGTGGATAAGTGAATCAGTGGATACTGATTTTGCAGATAAGGGATCCTGCTGTATATACTTTTGAACTATTTATTTATTTTATACATTTAACATCTAATATAAACTGTAAAAATGTGTAGTAATCTTTGGGTCACACTAGACAATATGCCCACATCATATTTAGAAGGCCTGTTCCCTAAAGGAGTAAAAGAATTGTGTTTGTCCTAGCCCAAGCCTTTCTTAATTCTTTGGTGTGCAAATTAGTTTGCTTTGCTTTGTGATTTGTTGTTGGAAGTCTCCCTAAAGGACTAAAAGAATTGTGTTTGTCCTAGCACAAGCCTTTCTTAATTCTTTGGTTTGCAAATTAGCTTGCTTTGCTTTGTGATTTGTTGTTGGAAGAGAAACACAATCTTAATTTGTAAATCAGATTACTCAGGCAGGCAACACTATGGAAATCCCATCACTAGTGTAAATCAGATTACCCAGACAGGCAACACTATGGAAATCCCATCACTAGAAGGCAAATGGGCTTAATGGCAGGAAATACGTGTTTCCCATATCATGGAGTTTTATCCTGAATGTCTTCATTAGTGTCAGTGCTTCCTCAATATCCATGAATGAGGAATGTTACAAAAAAAGTGGGCACTGACCATTTTGGCATTTATATACTCAGTTATCCTTTGAAAATCAGGGCATAATCAGATGGAGAAATAGCTGACATATTGGACTGCTTGTCCAGTGTGAGCTATTTTCCAGTGATCATACAATGTACAGTGGTACCTTGACTTATGAACTTAGACCATGTACTGTGGTACCTTGACTTATGAACTTAATCCATATTGGAATGGTGTTCGTAAATCAAAATGTTCATAAGTCGAAGCACCATTTCCCACAGCAGAAGTGCTGTGGCCACTTCAGTATTGCTGCTGCTCCATGCCCACCTGCTATTTCACTCTAAGAGCAAGACAGAGGGTGGGGTGGCTCTGGGACAGCAGAAGTACTGTGGCCACTATTGCTGCTGCTCTATGCCCACCTGCTATTTCACTCTAAAAGCAAGACAGAGGGTGGGGTGGCTCTGGGAGAAAGTAGCACTAGCTACTTTAAGTACTCTTTGCTGTTCTCCATAGAGCTTGGCCAGGCCCACAATCCTGGTTCTTAGGGTTCTTTCCTAAGAGACGAGTGTTGTAGGTTTGGTTCCCTAAGAAAGATGGCCAACAGTATAGGTCCACGGCCATGTTGCCCACAACAACAGGCTCAGGATCCTCAAAAGCTAGTCATTTGGTTACTGGCCAGCTCTCTGGGTTAGCCATTTTGGCTAGTGAGACTGTCCAGAGCAGAGACAGAGGAATTCATACTCTGCTATTTATGACAAAACTTGGTCCTCAAAGTAAACGATATATACTAGGCAGAAAAAAGAAAAGCTGGAATTTTTCTCAGTATAGGACACAGTACCTAGGGAAAGCCCCATAAAATCAGACAAAGACAATTAATATTTTACACACAGAGTCCTGTGCCTAACTAAATTTGCAATGGATAGCTCAGTGGTTTAGCTATCTGGCTGCAGAGCCAGAGGTTAGAGTTCAATTTCCCCACTGTTCCTCCTTGACATGAGCTGGATTCTATGATCCATAGGGTCCCTTCCAGCTCTGCAGTTCTTAAATTAGATTAGATTCTTATAAATATTTGCTGTGATTCCAAAGCCAGGAGGTGGCAGCATTTCATTTAAAAATTGCAAAAACATTTCCACACACTGCAAGTACAGGTCTATTGTTTGGACCAAAATCTCCATTTTCTAAAGTGTTCTGGTGCTGTTAACATACCATTGCCTGTTTGGTATTTCAAAGCTGCCTGTCTGGAAAATCAGCTTGCAAATACTGTAGTTGTTTCCCCAGGGACCAATCCCCAACAAAAGCCTGCAAGTTTGCAAGGACTAAAGCTGCAAAAGCTGTACGTCCACACATATGCCATCCCTTCTTCAAGTTGTAGAGCCACCTAGTCGTCTAGTTTGTCCCTCAGTTAACATTCAAGCAAAAAAAAAAAAAAAAACAGAAAAAAAAAGGAAAAAAGGAAAATAAGGCACTGTACTAATTGAATCAAGAGGAACATTATATGGAGGGTGGGGAAAAACCAATAATATCAGTGCAAAATTGGGTACAGTGAAGGAAAACAAATACTCCAGAAGAACTCAATATTGTGCTAGATCTGCCAGTGATCTGATTAAATTTAAGACTCATTCCTATGTTCACATTTTTATACCACGGGGAGCTTGCAGAATAACATTAAACCCTTCTAACACAGTACAGTTCTTACAAAACACACACACATACTGCAGCTTCAATGAAAAACCCCAGCAAATTTTGTTTCTTAGAAAAACGGTATTCGACCCAGTGATTTCAATAAGGGAACAGAGCATTAGTTCCAAGAATGCTTAATGTGCTCTGATTTCACAGTGAAAATAATTCTTTTTCCTTTTCTCTCTCACATTCTCTAAATAGTATTGGAGGAAAATGACCAGGATGGAGTTGCTGATAAGGATCCAAAAATCCCCTCTGCAGCTACCAGCCATAGGAAGGGTCTGTATGACGTTTTACAAAAGAGAGACATTTTCTGTTTGACTAGAAGGAGGAGGTTTATAACAAGCTGATGACATCTGTAGTGGGAATTGAGCATAGCAGTCACTGACGTGAATCTATGGAAATGAAAGTTTTGGGTATTTTTCACACATCAAAGACCTAACCCAAGGTCATTCACAACCTGGCAGCATCCCCACTTAAGTAGCATGAACAAGTGTCTGTGCTTAAATTGTAATTCTAGTTGGTAAAATCAAATAGAGGAGACCTGGTGTACACAAAGCAACGTAGTAGTTGGGTGCCAGTTAGTTTTATTTATTCAAGATGAAATGAGTCAATCTGGACTCTGCCCAGTTGCTGCCTTCTCTTATATCTCAGGTACCCTCAAACTGGCATGAAGAGCTCACCCCAAAACATATAAAGCTATTTATGACATGTGAATTAAAATTGCGCTATCAATTGATTCTGTTCTTAAATAGCATTTTACTCCTCCGTGGTAGATGGAAGACACCACAAAAGTGATTATAATAAATCTTGACTAGCAGGAGTCATGACACACCTTAGTTATATGAAATCTGTCAAAACTTAAAAATAAGCACACAGTTTTTCAGATGGTTTCAACAATACTTTGTGCTGAGATATGGGAGAATAGCAAGCAGTCCATTTTTCTTTTTCCTTTTTTTTTAAATGAGAAAGAGGGAGACGGAGAACTCCAATCCACTCCAAAAAACCTTGTGTTGACACTGCATGTTAAAGATGGAAACAGACATTATAGATTACTTGCCATTAGAAGAGAAAAATCGTTGAAGACTGATTGTGTGTCACAGCAGGAGTTCTCTAACTTCCTAGAGTTTGCACATTAGCTTGCTTTGTTTTATGATTGGACATCAGGGCATGGGATTCCTTTGACATCTGATTTCTCAAATGTGGATATCTGAGTTATCACATGTCTCTAACGCTACTGTGGTGTCAGTTCTAATGCCGGTTATCTTTTCTACATGTAGTCTTCAGGTGCGGTAAGACTCTTGCTATTTTGTAAACATCTTTCCTCTTTGCCCTAATGATATACCCAGACTACCAGAGCAAACAGGATGGACTCCTCCAACCTCTACTACTGTGGGTACAGATAGGTTTGTTAAAGAGTCCAATAAACTAGAGAATTTGAGAAACCAGCTCATTAACAAAATATTGGGCTCAAAGTATTGTATAGTATTGCAAAACGAATGCCTCCATATGCCAAACAAAGTTCAAAAGTTGATCTTGAGACAGAGAAAGGAATCAAGGAGACAGCTAAAAAGATTTGGGCGTAATGTTCTAATAGAGGTTAACTTCAGCTGCCTTCATGTTCAACAAACCAAAGTTGTGACACAGGAAATGTCATACTGTTTGGGAAGAGGAACCACAATACTGCTGTTTTTGACAGAAAGGTACGTCAAACGTCCAGGGCAGTAACACTTTGCTTCACAAGAGAAAACCTCTTTTTAAAAAATCTTCAAAAGTAAAGAGATTATTTAGACATAATTTGAAAGGCGGCACCGAAAAGGTTGTAGCCCTTTAAGCCATTTGAATATTATTTTAAACTACAAGAGAATCTCAAACTATATAAGACAAAATTAGGTTAGAATAGAACAAGTTCTCTGTTACTTTTAGGCCAGGATGATCTCTAACACACTTAGGTTAAGGAGGAGAGTTTTTGTTGCATCCTTAGGAGAAATCTCATAATGTAAGAACACCTTGGCAAAGGAACCTGTTGCCTTGAGGTAATGGTTTTTAGCTAAAAAAAAATCTAGCTGTGGATGTTCTGCACGGTGCAAAGGAATGGGCCAGAAGACCTGCATGACCTTGTTCCCACCACTACATTATTATGCACAAGGAGCCCCAAGATGGTGCAAAACTTATTTAATGACCAAAATCAAGGAGTTCACACTGGACAAGAAGGCCTCCTTTAAAAGTGACAAAGGAATTGGGTATTGGTGGTTTTTTTCCTTTCATTTTGTAAAAAGAATACTAGGAGAGGATATGGCACAGATGCATTAATCTATGAGTGTGGTGGAGATAGCAGAGTGAAAAGTTTTAATCATTGAAGGATATGTACTAGAGATGGGACATTCGTATTTGTCTTGTGGGGGAGACAAATATGCATATTGACCCTCCCTCCCAGAACCAGCTGATCCAATCACCAGGTTTCACACAGCATGTGCAGCTATTGTGGGTAACATTGCGCCAATCGTGGAAGTAGCCCGGACAGAACTTTCCCACCTACCTAGGGTGCTGACCACCCAATAGCTGAGCAAGGGACTTGTCATCCCACCTCCTGGGAAGTGCCAACGAGGCTACTTCCGCAATTGGCATGATGTTACCAATGACAGGGCCCCCACACCCTATGAAGCCTGGTGAGTGGACTAGGCTGGTTCTGGGGGGGAAGGGAACGGACCTCCATGGCTCCATGTGGTACCACGCTTCATATTTGCATTCCCCTGGAATACGAATAGGAAACTCCCAGGTCTAACATGTACTGTAAACATTTATCCAGAATTCACATGTATGGTATACAATCAAAATAGTAATTGTTGTATTATCTCTCTCTCTCTCTCTCTCTCTGATAGTAATTGTTGTATTATCTCTCTATTTTTCTTTCTTTCTTCTTTTAAGATGATGGTGATTATGATGTTGGTGTTCTGTGGGGAATTGTGTTTGGAGTGGCCAGCATCTCTCTCCTAGTTTTGGCTTTGATTACTAAGAAATTCTGCAGAAAAAGGTATAGATGGAGCTGTCTTCTGAGGCATTCTTGTCTAAAGTCTTAGATCAGGACAGTAGTACTTCCGCAACAGATTGCTTTAATGGGGCTTACTTCACTAATAGGATTCTTTAGCATTGGTTAGAAAGACTGGCCGTTAGCATTAGTATCTTGGTGCTGTTAAGCTCAAACTGTTTAGCAGACTTGAGTCTTCAAGTATGAGTTGCCACCAGAAGCCTACAAAATAGGATGCAAGGTAACTTCAAACAGAAAGGTGGTGGGGATGAGAATGCTGCTTAATCTTCATGAATGACTTTTCCTTTTACAGCATGTTCATTCTAAGAGTGCTTCCAGATGAAGGGCCCAGTGCTAACAATCAAAAGACACTGGCTGAAATCAAGTAGTAAGCCACAATTAGAACAGGCCCATTGAATTAACAACGCTTATGGAGGATTGACTCACCAAAGCCCCACTGCTTCAACTGACCTACTCTAATTGTGACTTACTACTGGAATTCAACTGACCTACTCTAACTATGACTTACTACTGGATTTCAGCCATTGTGTAGCTATTCCATCTTTTCCTTCTCATTTGATCTAGAAGTGGAGGGAAAGCGTGGAGAGATGATTGCATCAGCAGCATACACATTTCTGTAAGGTGATTGGATAATGAAAATCCCATCTGGAACACCACTAGTTGTTTTTGTTTCAGTCCTTCTTAAATACTAGAAATGAGCAAAGCAGGGGGAAGACCAGAGAAGGGCCCATGGCAGAAAATACAAGAGGGGAAATGTTTGGCACCCCATTTTCCTGCTGCCCCACTAAATATCCCCAGTGATTCTTCACATCTGATGGTGGCCTATATTTGAAGACAAATTTTCTCAGCTTTGTCTAAAACCCACATAAGCAATATCCCCCCCCCAAAGAAATGAATATGAACCATGATCAATCATTTAAAAATGCAATTGACCTCTTATGTTTTTTAAGGGTTTCCATAGTGTTGAATTCAATAACTCCTAAATGGCTTTCTGAAGATTACCCTAAACTGCAGAACAGCAGCGTGATCAAATCCCTTCAGGTAATTTCCCAGGCTGATTGTGTATTTATTCATAGTGGAAGAGAAGGAGGAGGTACTGTATATACTCGAGTATAAGCCTAATTTTTCAGCACAATTTTTTTTTGCTGAAAAAGCACCCTCTCAGCTTATACTTGAGTCTCAAAATTACATGTTCTCCCCTGAAGTGTGGGTGTTCTCTGGACTCCCCCGCTCATCTACAGGCGCCTGCAGCCTCTGTGGGTGGTCTGATGACCTGGGTTAAGTACACTGGGCATTTCCGCTTCCAGGACACTCCCATCCTCCTCCTTCTGCATATTCTATATACTCACCTTCCTCCTCCCACCTTCCTCCTCCATCCTCTGTCTCCCACAGCAGTAGAGCAGTAGTAAGTGCAGCATCCAGTATGAGTCCTCCCTCCACAGGCAGTGAAGAGTGTCTTGCAGCTCAGATGGGCAGTATCTTCAAAAACATTTAACCTACTGATGCCTCAATTAATGTAATTTTATTGGTATCTGTTTTTACTTTTGAAATGTACCACTAGCTGCTGCATTTCCCACCCTCGGCTTATACTCGAGTCAATAAATTTTGCCAGTATTTGGGGTAAAATTAGGTGCCTCGGCTTATATTTGGGTCGGCTTATACTTGAGTACATACAGTATCGGCTTATACTCCAGTATATACGGTATATTGCCTCAACAGAAATTATTCCATGACATATTTAAGAACTCTATGTGATGCTCCTTTATTAAGTCTGTGATTAGATGGATTGATTGTACTTCTAAACCATCAGAGAACCAGACTCAACTAGGTGGTTTACAGTACATTTTTTTAAAAAGATGCAAACAATGAAACAGTGTCTAAAGACAGAACACAACAAAAACAACACAAAATCAGCAGCAAGGAGCAAAAACAGTATGGCTCACACAATCAAAGTAAAACCGACACTGGAGCAGGAAGAATTGAGAAGGGAGGACCGCAGATATATAAATTAAAATACTAAATATGCAGTCAAAGGTGTAATATAAGGTCACTGAATGTAAAACAGTTTAAAAATAAAAACACCAAATTAAAAAAGCAAATGCAAAACATGCTGCTTATATACTACTTACAGCACTCTCTGGGCGGTTTACAAGTTAATTATGCAGGCTACACATCCTCCCTCCCATAAGCTGGGTCTACTCATTTTTACCGACCTTGGAAGGATAGAAGGCTGAGTCAACTTTGAGCCGGCTACCTGGAACTGAGCCCCAGGTCGTGAGCACGGTTTTAGCTGTAGTGCAGCAGTTTAACCACTGCACCATGAGGCTCTTGTAAAGATGCAGCCACCAAAAAAAAAAAAAAAATCAGCATTTGCTGTTAAAAATTCTTAGCACTGCAGACTAACCAAAACATGCTTAAAGTAAAAAAAGGCATTTGTTTGCCAGTGGAAAGACAGAAATCGAGGGGATTCAACCTAGTCCTCCCATGAAATGGCCCCTCCCCACTGTGGCATTTCAAATAAAAGTCCCTGCTCATCAGGGTTTAACTAATTAGAAGACAGCTGGATCTGTAAACAAACAAGAGCCAAAGTAGACTTTTTTGGCTTATGAAGACAAAGGCCCAGATTCTGAATTTGGCCATCCAGAATGGTGGTTTTGCTGAACTGCTTCTGTCAGTAGAACTGGAGGGAAATAACCCCCTTCCAACTGTAGCTTCTCAACCAGTGCACCACCAAGTGCTTCTCCAGAGGGCTGGGGAAACTTGCCAAGGTAGATGTTGAGGCAGCGCAAAAGGAACAGCAGACGTAAGTTCCATTAGAAGTTGAGCGCTAGTGCGGAATTGAATCCTTTCCCTACAGTTCTCTGCATGCATGGCTCAGGTTTCAGCTTATTTCCACAGCTAGTACAAGTATAGCCTAGATTTTAAATCACATAAGGTAGTCCTTTGAGACATGAATTCTCACTTGTGCAACTACACATAAATTAAGCCTTTCAGTGATTAAACAAAAAGACTGTTAATTAGTGGGCTGAAGCATAAAGGTACAACAATTCAAGTACAGTATTAAACAGCAAGAGAAGGAAAATAGTGCAAAGTAAAATAGAGAGAGAGAGAGAGGAGAATTTCGAACTTTAGTCTGGGGTGGGCAACTTCCAGAGGTCCAGGGCCCACCCCCACCTCATGATCCCCAGCCTTTTTTAAAAATCTTATAAAAAGTGCTTTAAAAAACTCAGAATGCTTCCTTGTACCCTTGTGCCAAAAAAGTAAAGATATAAATAAGAAATATTGATGGATATAGAGTCCCTGCCCCTCCTAAAACATGAAGAAAATGACCCTACCCCTAGTGATTAGTCATGAGAGGTAAACACAGACTTCATTTGCAAGTAGAAAGCTGTCCCCAAATCTTTCTTCTGGTACTGTAATATGATTCTACCTTCCAGTGATAGGCTATTTATGTGGGATGATGATGATCTGCTGTCGAATCAATTCCAACATGTCAAACCTTGCAAAGATTTTATAAGTACTGTATTAAGTACTCAGAAGCAATTTACAATTCCCTTCTTCTGGGGCTGCCCTGGGACTGTGCAGTTTGCTCAAGGCTACACAGGCCGGCTTTTCTTCTGGGAGGGAAAGTGGGGAATCAAATTCTCAACAGCTAGCTCCACAGCCAGTAACTTAACTCACTGAATTATCCAACCAACTCTAAGGTATTCATTGATCTATTCTATAGTGACAAATAAGCGGTGTTTAGCCCACTGTTCGGTCTGCGATCAACATCATTGGAGAAAGACATTATGCTCGGAATGGTTGGTGGTAAAAGACAAGAAGGACACCAAAGAATGTATTGGCTGGATGTAATCAATGCAGACATTGGCCAAAGCATAAAGTAGCTGAAGGAAGCCAGCTGAAGGAAGCTATCATGGAGAGTGCTGGCTCGTGAAATTGCCAAGGGTCAGATACGACTGAATGGATAATTTCATTCAATTAGAGCACTGAATATGCACCACATCACTTTCAAAACATTGTTAGGAACATGTATTGCAAGTAAAGATAGGTCTACCTAATACACCTACCTAATATGTAATACACATACCTAATACTGTTTTTAAAGGGATGCATAAAATATTGGCTATTCTAATATTTGTTGTTGTTTAGTCATTAAGTTGTGTCCGACCCTTCGTGACCCCATGGACCAGAACACGCCAAGCCCTCCTATCTTCCACAACCTCTCAAAGTTTGGTCAAATTCATGTTGGTAGCTTCAGTGACACTGTCCAAGCATCTTGTCCTCTGTCGTCCCCTTCTCATCTGAAAAAGCAGAGACATCACCTTGCCAACAAGGTCCGCATAGTCAAAGCTATGGTTTTTCCACTAGTGATATATGGAAGTGAGAGCGGGACCATAAAGAAGGCTGACCGCCGAAAAATTGATGCTTTTGAATGGTGGTGCTGGAGGTGACTCTTGAGAGTCCCCTGGACTGCAAGGAGATCAAACCTATCCATTCTGAAGGAAATCAACCCTGAGTCCTCACTGGAAGGACAGATTCTGAAGCTGAGGCGCCAATATTTTGGCCATCTCATAAGAAGAGAAGACTCCCTGGAAAAGCCCCTGATGTTGGGAGAGTGTGTAGGAAGAGGCGAAGGGGACAACAGAGGACAGTTGGACAGTGTCATTGAAGCTACCAACATGAATGTGACCCAACTCCGGGAGGCAGTGGAAGACAGGAGGGCCTGGTGTACTCTGGTCCATGGGGTCACAAAGAGTCGGACAC